TGCAAACAAAAGTCAGCATGGTCTCTGTTATCTTTAAGTCCTGCAGAGAATCAGCTGGTAATGTTAGTCAGTCCTTAGTTTCTTTTGTTTTGCTCCAGACAACTTATGATCTGAAGATAATGTTAGCACTGAACATCAACCATATGTAAACATACGGCAAGCCAGGAGTGACACTCCTGAACTGACATGAATGCCACATAATTTGCAGATGAGATGCATCTTGATAGAAACTATTGTAAACTGTAATGCATTTGAAACAAAGGTGTGATTCTAGTCTCCTGGAGCWGGACTGGACTCTGGTTTCATCATGAGAACATTGAGCCAGCAGCAGCTCTGGGGAAGCCCTGCTGTCTTTAGTCACCGCAGGATTCTCCCTCCTGAACGCCCAACAGGAGGCCGTTCCATAGAAGCTCTGAGGAATCCCCCAGAGGGAAATATTCTCTCTTCATTCTTCAGCCTCTCTTCTGATTTTCTAACATTTTTTATGAGCAGCTTAATCAGAAAGTTTTTTTTTCCACGAGCATTATCTCTGTTGCTCAGCATACAATTAAATTTGATTTATTCAGGAGAAATGCTGGTGTGTTAATACATCCTGACTGTGGGTTACTGAGGCTCACAGTCAGACTACATTACATCACTATGTTATAGTGCTTTAAAAGGTAATTACGTAAGTTTACTGTCAGGTCCTGCTGCTAATGTATTCGTGATGAAACCAGTAAGAATAAACCTCTGAGCCAACACGACAGGTGCTACTTCCATCTCTGTTAGAGGGATCTCTGTTACTGCTTTTTGTCTCTTCACACCTCATCATTTCATGTCCGTTTGRCTGAAAAGCGCCAGCAGAGAGCTCTGTCATCTGTGCCGCCTTCATCGTTTCCTCGTTCAGCCAAGTGAAAGTGAACGAGACCGAGCCAGCCCCACTCTGTCACCCAGAACAGCACATCACTCCAGCTGCTCTATTTTTAGCAGCATGTGACATCTGGCAGCTAACTCCGAGCAGAGGCATGGCATGCAGTGGATAATGAAGCTGTTTGCCTCAGAATCAGGGTAGACCGCATGCTAAGTGGGGCTGCTTTGACAGGAAAATACTTGTTCTAGAAAACAGGATCATGATCTATCTCCTTTTGATGAAGGAATACACTGGCTGGCTAAGAAAACAAGTCACCACCTGGATTTAACCAAGAAAATGCAGTCCCCTYCTAAAGTATTGGAACAAGTTAAATTCTCTTGTTTCTGTTGTTCACTGAAGACATCTGGGTTTAAGACCAAAAGATGAGACGAGTTCAGAATGTCAGCTTTTATTTCCTGGTATTTACATGTAGATGTGATAACCAACTTA